CACACACACACACACACACACACACACACACACACACACACGGAAAGCCCATGAGAGCTGGCACTTGCTGGGACTGCCTGGCTCTCCCCTGCCCCTCTCCAGTTTTGGTGCATTTCCAGGTACCTGAGCTCTTTCACTGTGGTGACTGGTAACAAGAGCTAGCATTTCCAAAGTGCTCAAGTTACACTAAGCTAGGTGGTTTTCTAGAAGCCCGGCTGGCTCAGTGAGTTCTGAAGTGCACTGATACCCTAAGGGTTATCAGTTCAAAACCACCAGCTGCTTCAAGAGAGAAAGTTGAGGCTTTCTACTTCTGTAAAGAATTAAAGTCTAGGAGACCCACAGGGCAGGTCTGCCGTGTCCTATAGGGAAGCTGTGAGTCAGAATGAACTCCATGGCCACGACCTTGGGCGCTGCACTAATCCCTTTACATGTGCTGGTTCTTGTCGTTCTTGAGAAGTCTCCTATGACCCAGTCCTAGGATTGTCCTCATCCTAACCAGTTAAACAGAATAACCATAAACCCAAGGCACAGGCATGAAGGAACATGCCTGGTTTGACGAAGTAGGGGCCAAATGTAGAGAGAAATCAGGAGACCATCCCTAAGAGGATGGCCATCCACAGGAGTGAGGATGGAGGTGCTCTGATGTCACTGTGGGTCAGGCGCTGGGATGCTAACTGCAAGGTTTATAATTCAAATCCATTAGCTGCTCTGTGGGACAGAGATGAGGCTGTCTCTGCTCTCGTGAGACTCACTCCCTACAGGGGCAGTTCTGTTCTGTCCTGGGGTGCTGTGAGTTGGGATGGACTGGAGGCAGTAGGTGGCTGAAGGGATGGATTGGGGGGTGTGTTCAGAAAGGGGAAGAACCCAGAACTGGGATATAGTGAGGGACTTTCGTGTCGGTGGTTAAATATTGAGGGCTTTGGGGAGCAAGGGCAAGTTGCTAACCCATGGGCGGGCCCCTTGAAATTCACCCAGCTTGCTGGGGGTGCTCGAGTGACATAACTTAGAGGTCCCCCAAAGCCCTGCCAGCTGTGGCTTACCAGAAGCCAGTGAGTCATTGATGGGGTCCGTGCCAGGGTGGTGGACTCCCCTTGTGTTGGTGTCATACTTACTAAGCTGTGTGCCCAAGCTTCCTGCAGGTGGGTCATGTTTCAGTGTCCCTGGGAGGGGAGATTGCTTTGTCAGCAACCCACTCAAGACCACCGGGGCAAGAGGTACAGGGTGGGTGGAAAATGGGGATGAGATTTCTGTACAATTGTCATTCTATCGATAATCCATTGAATTGGTAATGGACCCCATTGATAGAGCAGAACTGTCCCATGCTTTCCCAAGGCCATAGCTCTATATTGGGGCAGGGTACATATATACATCACATATATGCTTATTGATTCTCATTTGCATTGGTAATGAGCTATCTTGCAGACACTTTTTGAATTATAAATATGCTCAGGGAATTGATAACTGCATTTTAATTCTCATGTTCATTTTTGCCGATTCACTCAGTAAGCATTTATTGAGCATCTCTTCTCATGAATGTTCGGCGTGTCTAGTGACCCTGTTCTCTCCGTGCTCTCTGTTGGGGAAAGGGGCAGACACATACTTGGGTAAAGCCCTGGGGGACTTTTTCTCTGTTTTGTTAAGTAATGTGGTAGGTGACACTCAGGAATTATGGGAATTAATGGCTTTAAGGGGAAAGGGGAAACTTGTAAGTTAATATAAAAGCAGAAAAAACTATTCAAGGAAACACTTGGTGATATTACATTCATTAAAAAATAGAAGTATAAGATATGACAAAATAAAAATTTATAAATTATCAAGGGTTCAGGAGGGAAGGGAAAGCGGGGAGGGAGGGGGGAAACGAGGATCGCAAATGTTTTGAGAATGATGAGGGCAACAAATGTCCAAATGTGCTTTACACAATTGATGTGTGCATGCATTGTGATAAGAGTTGAATGAGCCCCAATAAAATGATTTTTTTAAAAGCATCATGATAAACAAACAAAAAATAGCAATAGACTTTGAATTTTTTTAAAGGCTCTTTTTTTTTCATATTTTGACAGTGAATAATTTGAAATTGCCACTACCCTATCCAAGGAGCCCCAGTGGTACAGTGGCTAAACACTCAGCTGTTGCTAACCTTTGAAGCTGGTGGTTCAAACCCATCAGCTGTTCTGCAGGAGAAAGATGAGGCTGTCTGCTCCCGGAAAGATCACATTCTTTGAAACCCTCTAGGGAAGTTTGATTTTGTCTTACAGTATGGCTATGGGCCTGAATCCACTTGATGGCAATGATATCTTCTAATGCTTTATGAATTAGTTTGTTTATTTTGTAGCATTAGTGATAAATATTCTAATTATTAAATTATAATTATTGAATATTTTCTAAGAATTCTGTATAATTGCAGTATTCTCAAGAATTAATTCAAATAATTGCATCAGGCATATATTTAATTGCCTTCCTTATGTGGTTATGTTCCTTCCTGTTTTATTCTAGATGGACCCCGGCCATCACAGAAAGAAATCATATCACTACGGGCCTTCATGCTCCTTTTCCTGAAACAGCTCATACTAAAGGTAAACTCACATGCATGTAATTCAGAAACACAGTCTCCGAGGTGGAACGGAACCCATGGTGGGGTTGAAACCATTGGTGTTATATTAATAGTAGCTTCCTGGGTGGCACACTCAGCTAATGGTTTTGAGAAGCTGGTGGTGGAACCCACAGAGGGACCCTGACAGGCTGGCCTGTCGATCTGGGAGAGGCCACTGTGTTGGGACTGGGAGCTGCTGTCTGCACACCTGCTCTCCCAGCGCTGGGACTGCCTCCCGAGAGAGTTACGAACAGCAGCCATTTTCAGTGCAGGGGTGCTTTCCACAAGTGACAAAATCTCCATCACGATGCCTATGGAGATCAAAAGGATAAACCTGACTTGACTGGTTAAAACCTTGGCACTTGATAGAGTTTTCAACATTTTCTGTGGTATTTTTTGGTTGGTCTTTTTCCATATGAGGGTTTATCTCAGGTGTATTATGTCAGTGGGGGTAACCCTCTTGAATTTTGGCTATATGTTTTTCTGTTTTTCAGTATATGAAACACAGAATTGATGAGCCTATAGGGACAGCAAGTAGAATGATGGTTCCTGGGGGGTACAGTGGGTAGGGGGGGTGTAAATGGTAATAAATTAAGCTGATATTAAGGTGTTCAAGAAGTAAGCATGTTTTGAAACTGATTGGGGTAGCAATTGTACAATACAACTTGATGTGATTGAACTATGGAATGATATGATGTCTGCATTAGCTCCCAATAAAATGGTTTTGGGGAAAACAAGAAAAAATTTCAGTCGCGACTGTAGTTGAACCCAATTTTGTTTTAATTCTTTTTGAGACCCACCATGTCACTGGATGCATCCATATCCATGGAGAAGTAAATGAATTGAGCAAGGATGTTTATTCCAGAGAATGGTCCCTATTCTGTTTTCAGGAGGCTTACATAACACATTGTGTTGCAGCACTCTAAGACCAAGATAAAGGGAAACAAAAGGCTACATTGATATTGTAAAGTCTTGTGGTAATTTGTACAATTTTAAGTGAAAATGCTTTGAAAATAGTACTCTTAGAATCCTAATCAAATGTCAATCGGTAACTTTAAAAAATAGATCTAATTTCCTCAGCCACTAATTACCTTGAAATAATCTGGTCTGAAATATGAAGTCCGGGGTTTTTAATAAAAACAGCACTGGGTTTCCTGCACGGTCATGTCAAACGGCTGTGGTACCTCCCGTGTTGGAAGGTTTCATCTCAAGTGACCAGCTCCTTATTTTTTGTTAGGACCGAGGTGTAAAGGAGGATGAGCTTCAGAGCATATTGAATTACCTGCTCACCATGCACGAGGTAGGCGCCCTCTGTACTTTGCATTTTGATTTTCCTTATGTCCAGCTTTTGAGTAAAATGTTAACTCAGTAAACATTGGTGATTCTTATTCTGCAGGATGAGAATATTCATGACGTGCTACAGCTACTTGTGGCTTTAATGTCAGAACACCCAGCCTCAATGATACCAGCATTCGATCAAAGAAACGGAATAAGGTATCCTTACAGCATTGGTATTAGACTTTAATCAAACACCTGGCATTTTTACAGTACTCCCCCTGCACACACACTTCTCACTACCTCAGCTGCAGCTAACATGTAAGAAGGAAATAAACGGCAAAGGTGTCTATTGTTGCTCTCCATCTCCAGCTTATACTGAAGTGGCGTTGCCCTATTTGTGGCAGGAAAATGACAGCATTTAGGCACTAGAAGCATGAGAAATTGCCAGAGTTAGCTGCCCCTCTATGTGATAAGACATTTAGACTCTGTCCTGTTGGTGCTAAGGATGGAAGACATCTGAACACTGAAAGGTGCTCAGATTCCCATTGGGTTAGCTGGATGGATCATGAACAGATGGACAGATGGGTGCAGCCAGCTGAACAGAATTGTTGGATGAGCGTGATAGGTGGGGAGGAGTGGGGAGGCACAGAGCAGGCGAGGCCTGGACATGAAGTGAGACTGAAATGCGAGGCCAGATCAAGATGTGTCCATATGAAGTCCGGGGTTTTTAATAAAAACAGCACTGGGTTTCCTGCACGGTCATGTCAAACGGCTGTGGTACCTCCCATGTTGGAAGGTTTCATCTCAAGTGACCGGCTCCTTATTTTTTGCAAGGGAGCTGTGTACAGAGTGTAGGTCTGCAAGGGAGCTGTGTACAGAGTGTAGGTCCTTCAAGTCCTTTCCTGCTCCTCTGATTTCAGTCTCATTCTGTGGGCGGGCTGTTCACTTTGGTTTGGCATATATTGTTCTGGAGTCTGAGTAAGTGGGATGGGCAGGAAACTTGGCTCATGCCATGTACAACCAAAGGCACGGATTGTGAAAAAGAGTTTGCAAATGATACAGTGATAAGTGTCAGGCATTTTCTCTGCTCCTTTGTAACATGACCATCCATATCAGAACATGACCTGCTAGTCCTGAAGGAGGCCCTTTCAGGTCAGGAGCCACCACTTCTTCCTCTCCAGCTATCTAGCCTGAGCTAGCAATCGTGAGGCTGCCGAGCTGTTTATCTGAAGAAGAGAGTTAACACCATAATTATGAGTAGTTACTGCTATTTTCTTACTATTTGATTGAATTATATGAAGCTGCTTGTACTCCACTGATTTGATCAAATGTGAGTAATGCCAATTTTACATAGTTCGATTAAGCAATACAACTACATTTATTTTCCTGAAATTGTGTTTAAATGGAATAGTTAATATTTAAATGGAGTACTAAGTATATCCCAGTTCTTGCTGTGTTATGTTAATTTGTCACTTAAGTGACAAATGAAAATGTCCTCATAGCCCTTGTGTAAGATATGAAACTTAGTTGGATAAGGTACAGTGTAGCGTGGAAATAGCATCCTGAGCTATTTGGACACATTGAATGCATATCTCATGAAGGAGAGTGATGTTTGGTGAGATCTTAGGGTTGAAATAGTATTTTTAATGCACAGAATGAAAGGAATGATTTAAATAAGACCCAATCCATTGCCACCGAGTTGATTCTGATTGAAGGGGACCCTGTAAGACCAAGGAGAACTGTCCATAGAGTTTTTAAGGCTGCTATCTTCATGGGGGCAGACAGCCTCATCTTTCCCCCACAGAGCAGGTGGTGGATTCAAACCATCAACTTTTGGTTAGCAGGTGCACGCATAAACACCACCAACGCTCCTTAGGCACAAGGTATCAAGTAGCTTTATGGCTTATGAAGGATCAGGAGCTGAGCATGAGAGATGTTGCCAGAATGCTGAAAGCAATCAAAAAGATGGGAAATGGTTCTTCTCATCGTTTGTGCCCAAAGGCACAAAATTAAATGTGCCTTTAATTTTTCTACTGCAAAGTAATGCGGAGAAGGCAGCTTACAAAGAGGGCAGACACAGGTTTCAAGATGCGCAGGCATATGGAAGTTGGTAAAACCGAGTCACCAGCCCTGGGGGCACGGGGGAGTGTGTTGGTGGCTCAGTGGTAGCTTCCCCCGGCCTCTTCCCCCATCATCCTGGGAGGCCCAGGTTCACTTTCTGCAGATGCACCTCTTGAACCACCACCACCCACCTGTCAGCACTTGATAGTGAGGTATGTGGGAAAGCCTCAGTGGAACTTCCAGACTATGGGGACTGGTGGTCTACAGCCCTCTGATCCTTGGTCAGGGCCTGGCAGCATTGATCCTATTGTGCTCACAGTCACCCTGAGACCGGGCTGTCCTGGTGACAGCTCCCCATGATGACAACAGCCAGAAAGAGGATGTGTTGTCGGGTGCTGCTGATGGGTTTCGACTCACAGCGACTCTTTAGGACAGGCTAGAACTACCCCTATGGGTTTCTGAGACTCTGGTCTTGACGGGGCAGTCAGCAAGGTCTCTCTCCCTTAGAGCCACTGGGGGTGTGGGGGGGCGCTCAGACCACCTAGTGTGTGGTGCTCTGCTGAGCACTTCGCCACTGTACCACTGGGGCCCCTTGAAAGTAGACATTAAAGAGTAACATTTGTATATGAGGAAATTTGGGGTGATTCTGATTAATACAGTTCATATATATCTTAAGAATTGGACCCCTGAAAAGAAATTTGATTGAATTCTAGTGATATTTCAATTGGATATAAGGAGGCCCTTGGTGATGATGAGACACAGAACTGAGCAACTGAAGAGTTTGGTTTCTTGTGTGTAAACCTTCTTGAAAAGAGCAGACAACGGTCTGCCTTACTTAGGTAGCGGAGCCCTGGTGGTGCAGTGAGTTACAGGTGAACTGCTAACCACAAGGTCAGTGGATCAAGCCACCAGTAGCTCTGAAGGAGAAAGATAAAGCTGCTTCCCATGTAAAGATTTACCGCCTGGGAAACACAATGGGGCGGTTCTACTCTGTCCTCAGGGACACTCTAAGTAAGAACTGACTCCATGGCATGGGTTTCTCTGACCTAGCTTAAGCCACTTCCTGGCCAAGTCTAGGGAGCCAGAGCAGATAGATGCTATATGATGCTATATATGATGCTATATTACAGTAAACATTTCAATACTTACTCGTCAGTAAGATTCTTATCAATGCACGTCACTGACCTTTGCGTCCTGTTCTGTAAGCAGCGTTTGTTTGGGCGTAATGAAAACTGCCATGTGCAGATGGCTCCCTAGGCAGTTTTAGTTTGGTCACGGTCCCTGTTGACCCAGGACAGGATAGAGGTTATCTGTCTATCTGTCTCTCTCTGTCTCTCTCATCGAAGCTCTTCCTGGAGACTAGGGATGCTGTAGGAGCTCCCGCCTAAATCTTAGGGGAGGGCTACACTTTCAATTTCCTTCTCCAGGTGGTATCCACTGTTGGATGCTCTTAACCACAGTTTTCTGAGTATGTTTATAGGTGCAGCCTTCCTATTCAGACTTTACCTTCTCATTACTGATCTTGGTTCCCAGGGGCTCTGAAACGAAATTTCAGCATAAGCATAGGTATACTGAGGAACTTGGAGGTTTGGGGACGAAAATCCCCTTCTGAGGAAGATATTCATTCTTACTCTTGGGCTTGCTTGTCCTCATGGTCTACTTCTCCATGCAGTAAACGCCAGGTGATGGAGCTTACTCCATAGCAAGCATTCCCCAGCTTCTCTTTTGGAGTGTAGAGTAATGTAGATTCAAGACCCATGGAGGACATTGTCCCTTGGTCATCTTTATCAATGTCATGGACGTCAGAACATCACGCCTCACTTTCTCTTACCAGCTTCGCTTCTTCAGCCTAGGTGGCGTCTCCTTCCAGATAGACCGCGATGTTTTATTTGGGCAAAAACCTGCAGCAAAATACATGCCAATGTCACAGAGTAGCCAGTGCACCCTGAAAGAAACTTGTAGAATTCCAGATTTCATTGCAAACTGTGCAGTGACATTGCCTCATTCAACCATATGGAAAAAATATTTACTTAAAGCAAACAAACAAAAGAGAATAAATAGTGGAGTTATTGTCTACAATTGTTGCAGCCAAAAGTCCAAGCAGTGATTTCAGCTTCTAGAGAACCTATCAACATGGAAAATAGACGAGAGTGCTGTGGTGAAAGTCTCTCGGGCTGGGAGTCATGGGCAGGACAACCCTCAGGAGAGAAGCTGCCTTGCTGGTTGGTCCACTTTCCTTCTCCACCTCAGCAGAGAGACACAGCCACGGTGGCCCTAGGTCTGCTCTTTAAATCATGGCCTACTCCAAGAGCCACACAGAGACGAGTGTTGCTCCTACATCCCACTCCGCATTCTTGCAAAGGAGAGAGGACCAGCCCATGTGGGCTCCGTTTTTCTTGGCCAGAGCCTGTGAGCTTCAGAGTCGAGCCCGGTCATTTGAGCGCATCTTAAATGGGACCATCGGCTCAGTGTTGTGGCTGGCTGTGCTTATGAACACAACAGGCCTTGCCCTCTGGTGTCTGCATTTAGCAGACCCAGTTCAAGAAAATTGAGTAGACCATGCTGATTTTCTGCTATCACAAAGAATTTTTAAGAGACACCTGGTATTTTATACATTACAAGTTTGTTGGAAGACCATACAGTACGTGCTTAAAAGATTTAAAAGGTGCTATGTATATATTGGCGTTTTTATTTTTTGTTTTAGAGTGATCTACAAATTATTGGCTTCTAAAAGTGAAAGTATTTGGGTTCAAGCTCTGAAGGTTCTGGGATACTTTCTGAAGCATTTAGGTCACAAGTAAGTTATTATTTTTCATATTGAATTGTAAAAGTATCTGTGGAAGTGTGATTTTACTAGTCTTGTATCTAGCTTGACACAAAATCTGACTGGAATAATCTAATGATGGGAAATAATGGCTTCCAGTGGTAAAGTTGTTCTCCTTTATAGGGTCATGGTTTTCAAGGTAGGTTATGGAACAACAGCATGATGACAGTAATTCAGTTTGTATCTATTTGCTTCCGTAGAGGAAATACTGTTTCTCTTAAGGCTGGGGTGGAATATTCTGTGACAATCAAATAAGGCCGGGTACATACGCATTGCAGCAAATCCTGCCTGGGGCCCAGGGGACGCCTAGCCACTCGCACAGTTGAGTCAGTATTGGATTGTCTGTTTTTTTTCTTAACAACGAAGCTTGCTGATTTCTTTTGTGGTTTGAAGATCCTGGAATACTTCGTTTCTTTTGTAAAATAAAAGTTTTAAACACTTTTTAAAAAATGCATTCTCTTCAAGCAGCCCAGGCTGGAACGGTGATCGTGTTCCACTCTGCGTGCAGTGCCTACAGATTCCGCTGAGAGTCTGACTCACCGTGGAGCCCACCGAGAAAGGAGCACTGTTGTTTAAGGGTCACCGAGAGGGGTCTTCAGGACCCCCACTGTTGCCAGTTCTTTCTTTGGTGATCAGACTCACCAGAGAGTTTATTGACGACACTGGCAGAAACTGGGCACGATCCGAGGAGACGGGCCACCGCGCTGGCCCTCCTCGGGATTGCATGTCACCTGCATCTTGGTAGCAAACCAATAGTCATGTCAGGGAGAGAGTAGGCCAGGACTCGGGACAGGTGTGGACACCCTGTGAGCACCCCAGGGACCCAGTGTTTAGAGAGCAGAGGGAATGTGGCTTCAGTCGATCTCCCAGTGTACTTGGAGAAACACTGAAGAAATATGTGAATTCCTTGAGTCAAAAATTTAATAGTGTGATATTTACTGCATTAGTACTTGTATTATTAGTATATTTGTATCAGATCCCCACTGTTTGTGTTTAAGCACTGTTATCATCCTCATTTCGAGATGCTGCTGCTGGATTAGCCATGTATACATGTTTACAAATCTGCTAATCAGGGCCAGGTTGATTTCTGAGTTCTCATTTGTCTGACTGCAGAGATAGAATTTAAAAATTCTGTGTGTTGCCACATGTTAATGTGAACAGTTAGCAAGATAGCAGAAAGTACAACTTGATTTGTCATTCTTACAAGATCAGACTAACTCTCCATTGTGGTACAGTAGCTGTTTCTCCTAAATAGCTGATATCATATATACATGTGGACCTCCCACTGCATTTAGATTAGTCTTGAGACAAATGTTTCCATGTGAATCTAGTAGTTACTACTAATTATTATTTAGGATGTGAGACATACGAAAGACAAACTCACTAGAAAGAAGAGGAAATAGTTATCATCATAGATGATTGTGTCCAGTGGTTCCAACCACAGCAACCCCGCGTTCATAGACACCAGCACTGCCCACTGGTGCACCATCTTCATGCTTCTTGTGTTCGAGGCCAAGTCATCTCGTTGACTCTCCTTTATTGCTACCCCTCTACTTCGTCAAGCTTGGGCTCCTGCTCCCGGGGCTGGTCTCTCCAAAGTATATGAGATGAAGTCTTACCATCTTTGCTTCTGAAGAGCATTTGCTTCGTCTTCCAAGATAGATTTGTCTGTGCTTCTGGCTGTACATGGTAATTCTGTATTCCTAACATTATAAATCAGACATCAATTCTTCTGTCTTTCTTATTCATTGATTACATGATTTGACTGACCATCTAGAAAACCTAAGATAATTATTTATAAGACTCAAATAGATACTGTCGAAGCCAGTGTCTCATCTGTATGTGGAAGTCTGATTTCAGTTGCCAGGTGAAGCTTTCTATCTGCCCATGGTAGTCTTTCTGAACACCCAGATCTAGACCCATAGGAGACTTAAGCTCTGCTTTGGGGAGGGTGATGGTGGTGTGGGGGTCCTGTCTTTGCGAAGAAGGGGCTCAGAGTGGAGCTCAGAAGGGTCTGTGCATGTGTAAGTACAACAAACACTCCTGCTGACGACTGGTGAAAAGAGACTTTAGGAACTTTACTTGCTTTTCTTGATTTGTAGAGGAAGACATAAGGCTGATTGAGTAGCAGATATGTCCTGATTGCTGCTTATGCTCTTCACCATGCCTCACCGTATGATCCACCAAAACGACAAGATCCACGGCCGCTGAGTCCATCCTGACTCATGCTGACCCTGTAGGCCTGGGGAGAAACGCCCCACGGGGTTTTCACAGCTGTAATCATTACAGGAACAGACTGCCAAATCCTTCTCCCAAGGAGTAACTGATGGATTTGAACTGCTGACCTTTTGGCTAGCAATCCAGTGCTTAACTCTTACTTGACTGAACCCTGTGTTAGTTTGGTTAGACTAAAGAAACAAAATCCTAGACACTCATGTGTATAAGAAAGAGCTTTATATCAAAGAGTAAGTGTATATTAAGAAAGCATCCCAGCCCAGTCCAGATCAAGTCCATACATCCGATATTAGCCCATATGTCCAATACCAGTCTATGACTTTCTCTTTAGAGTCAAGCAACACATTCATTGATGCTGAATGCAGGAAGATCACAGGCCAGTGTATGGAAGGTCTTGTGGATCCTGTGGAGGTGGAAAAAACTCAATGCTGGCAGGGGTCTCCACATGGCTCCTTCAGTTCCAGGGCTCTAGCATAGCTCCATGTGACTTGTCAGAAGGAATGTCTTGCAGGGAGTGAGTGTGTGTCCCACTTCCAGAGAACTATTTATCTCCTTGGCACCTCCACATGAGGTCATCAAGCAACCTGATTGACAGGCTAAACTCCACCCCTTCACTCTTAATAGCCTCAAACTGACAGCAGATTATGTAACCACCACAAACCCATTCAAACCCACCAACTTCTACCCTGTCTTCCACACAGATGAATACTAAAGGTAGAATCTGAATTTGCTAGGGTAAGCTTTAGGGGAAGGAATAAGCATGTGGTTGTCTAATAAGCCTTGGTGGCATCGTGGTTATGCTGTGGGCTGCTAACCGTGAGGTCAGCAGTTCAAAACCACCAGCTACCCCACAGGAGAAAGATAAGACTGTCTGACTGTTCCCATGAAGAGTTACAATCTCAGAACCCCACAGGGGCAGTTCTCCAGCATCCTATCGGGTTACTCTGAGTCAGCATCACCTCAACAGCCATAAGGAATCAGAGTCCCTTGGTGTGATTGTTCATTTCCCACCCAACCAACACGGGGGATCTGAGGTCCAACAAAAAAGGTATAGCTGGAGCCTCCTATCGGTGTCTGAGATCCCGCCTCCTGTGGGTTCATTCTGTATGCTAAACGAGGGACACAGGGAAGCATCATGAATGCTCAGACACACTACAGAAGTTGGTGCTACAGATAAGGAGTGGAAAAAAGTTACAACGCATTGTCATTGTAGCGCGAGTGCTCTCCATTGACTTGGTTATGTTTCTTTTTTTATTGTTTATTTTTGTTTTTGTTTTTTTTTTAATCATTTTGTTAGGGGCTCATACAAGTCTTATCACAATCCATACATACATCAATTGTGTAAAGCACATTGTACATTCGTTGCCCTCATCATTCTCAAAACATTTGCTCTCCACTT